TGAAAGCAACCTGTATAGACAGTAGTGATGAAGGTTTAAATGTGATGAGCACTTACCTCTTCTGTGTATCATAGTAGCTACCCTAACCTCATCAGAACAAGCTGTTTCATGAATTTTTCGAATTTCTTATCCAAAAAAAAATTCAGGACGTATATCAAAAACGTCGGATTTTCAAACCTGAAGAAGTGTTTCGGTACTTTTTGATAATCCTTCTATCAACTAAGAACGAAAATACACCTGGGAAATGCTATAGTTACACAATCACCGAATAGACCTATCTCCTCTCTCCATCCACTTCTCTCCCTCCTTTTCGAGGATGATTTCCATATTAGAAATTAATTTATATGATTTAATCAATGGTATGTGTTAGTCGTAGAATTTTCCATCTTCTTAAAATTTATGGAACATTTATGTACAGTCGGTTGAAATCTGTGATTACCGGCTATACTTTTAGAAGTATCCAATTGAATGCCCTCTTATTCTTTAATATTCTATTGATTTTGACTTCTTAAACATAATTACCACCAAGATCTTTACTCCAATCTTGCATTTAGCGCTGCTATGTGTCACTAAGAACAAGTTTTTATTATGGACTTGTTCCGTTGTGTATTGTAATAATGATAACTATCTCTAACATTAATCTAAATAGAAAACAAAAACAATGACAACAATAAATTGCGCTGGTAATTAGAACCACTTTGATTCTGTAAAATGCTCCTTTAGAACTGAGGGAAGAAATAGAGCTGTACTTTCGGAAGGTTGTCATGATTTTGTTTTGAGAATTATTGAAGAATGACAAATTGCTGTGATTTCTTTTTTTTTATCCTGGTATGCCCTTTTGAAGCGAATCAGAGGATTGGCTCTGAAAAATTAAAGGGGTTGCCGCCTCTCAGAAATTGCTTACACGGCACCCCTTATTCCATTTTAGCAGGTGGATTTGGCTAATTTTGAGGGAATTAGTAATCGAGGAAATTGCAAATTCTTTTTTCTCTTAAGTGATGCTAAGATGGAGATCACTTCAGCGCTAAAGTTTATTTATCAACTTCAAACATATTCTTTGCCCAGATTTTGATCAGAACTCCGTCAATTATGAAAAATAAACAGCTTTTTTGAAAGAATGCAATCTTAAAAGAATTTCACACTGCACGACGTGAAAATTCTAACAAAATGAACTTTGTTAAGTTGCTTTATCAATATAATCTCATGAAAACACTATGAACACTAGATGAGGGGAGGTTCATTTTCACTTCTCTAACCACAACTAACTGCGGAGGATTGCTGGGGTTAGTTACCTTGTTGTATTCCCCTTTAGTGACGCACGGATGAACGATCACGACTTGATGAATGGCTGATTCGTGCAGCAGTTGTTTCATCAATGTGGCGTAGTTCCG